ACAACAAGCAACATGCAGAAGCCAGCAAGCAACATGCAGAATACAACAAGCAACATGCAGAAGCCAGCAAGCAACATGCAGAATACAACAAGCAACATGCAGAAGCCAGCAAGCAACATGCAGAATACAACGAGCAACATGCAGAAGCCAGCAAGCGTGAAAGAATAGATGAAATGTACGAGGGTTGTCCTGAAATTAAGGTAACGATCACCAGAACTTGGACAATTCTCATTGACTGACAATGAAATGTTCACAGAGAGTATTCACATTGATTGTCTCCTCTACTTCTCAGTGCATTCACCGGGAAAAAACAACACATTTCTGCAATTCGCGCACAAGGTGACATATCTTTGAGTTCTCCACGTCGTCACTGGGAACTTCTTCCTCTGTGTTGTCCCGATAGATGTTGTCCAAGTGATACAGACCTGAGACAGGTGATGACCTAAGAGAGTAAGGTCTGGACTGTAATGTCGTCTAAGTGATACAGACCTGAGACAGGTGATAACCTAAGAGAGTAAGGTCTGGACTGTAATGTCGTCTAAGTGATACAGACCTGAGACAGGTGATAACCTAAGAGAGTAAGGTCTGGACTGTAATGTCGTCTAAGTGATACAGACCTGAGACAGGTGATAACCTAAGAGAGTAAGGTCTGGACTGTAATGTCGTCTAAGTGATACAGACCTGAGACCGGTGATAACCTAAGAGAGTAAGGTTTGGACTGTAATGTCTAAGTGATACAGACCTGAGACAGGTGATAACCTAAGAGAGTAAGGTCTGGACTGTAATGTCGTCTAAGTGATACAGACCTGAGACAGGTGATGACCTAAGAGAGTAAGGTCTGGACTGTAATGTCTAAGTGATACAGACATGATAGATCTAACCTAAGAGAGTAAGGTCCGGACTGTAATGTGGGTGTGGCAGCACCGCCTAATTGTATCTCCGGCCTCAGTCCTTGGACAGTTTTGCTGTCTGTGCTGTGACGCTGACACGCTGCAAGATGATGGCTCTCTCCATCACTGTGTCTGACAGGGCTGACACGCTGCAAGATGATGGCTTTCTCCATCACTGTGTCTGACAGGGCTGACACGCTGCAAGATGATGGCTCTCTCCATCACCGTGTCTGACAGGGCTGACACGCTGCAAGATGATGGCTTTCTCCATCACTGTGTCTGACAGGGCTGACACGCTGCAAGATGATGGCTCTCTCCATCACTGTGTCTGACAGGGCTGACACGCTGCAAGATGATGGCTCTCTCCATCACTGTGTCTGACAGGGCTGACACGCTGCAAGATGATGGCTCTCTCCATCACTGTGTCTGACAGGGCTGACACGCTGCAAGATGATGGCTCTCTCCATCACCGTGTCTGACAGGGCTGACACGCTGCAAGATGATGGCTCTCTCCATCACTGTGTCTGACAGGGCTGACACGCTGCAAGATGATGGCTCTCTCCATCACTGTGTCTGACAGGGCTGACACGCTGCAAGATGATGGCTCTCTCCATCACTGTGTCTGACAGGGCTGACACGCTGCAAGATGATGGCTCTCTCCATCACTGTGTCTGACAGGGCTATCTTGTCTCTGTCATTCTGACACTTGTCCTAAATATCTCCATTTTCTTCTTTTTATTTGTATCTTCGATTCCAGCTCTTTCCAACGCTTCATGAAATCAATTTATTTCAATGTGATTTTATGAATAAAATTATTCGTAAACATTTTGTCTGGGGGCTTTTTAATTTCTGTTGAGTGGCTTTATTTTTTCCTTTCCAGTGACGTCCAAAGGAAACTTGAAAATGTCATCACCCAATCATTGTGTTAAAGCCTTACACTACCCACTCATGTCATCAGCCAATCATTGTGTTAAAGCCTTGCACTACCCACTCATGTCATCACCCAATCATCGTGTTAAAGCCTTACACTACCCACTCATGTCATCACCCAGTCATTGTGTTAAAGCCTTACACTACCCACTCATCTCATCACCCAATCATCGTGTTAAAGCCTTACACTACCCACTCATGTCATCACCCAATCATTGTGTTAAAGCCTTACACTACCCACTCATGTCATCACCCAATCATTGTGTTAAAGCCTTACACTACCCACTCATGTCATCAGCCAATCATTGTGTTAAAGCCTTGCACTACCCACTCATGTCATCACCCAATCATCGTGTTAAAGCCTTACACTACCCACTCATGTCATCACCCAATCATTGTGTCAAAGCCTTGCACTACCCACTCATGCAGCGTACCAGTTCAAAGCTTAATCAATTCTGCATAATCTGACACATTAATATTTTATCTATGTTAAGAGACACCCGAGATATGGTCATTCAAAACTGACTTTAAAAGACCAGGCTTGGCAAAATTGTTTGTCTTCGCGAGTGTCGATATTGATAGAATGGACATACATTGTATATCTATTGAATGGTGAATTTTGTATTACAATTTACAATATTTTGTCACGATATTTTGTCACGATGCTTTCCAACAAAACGGAAAACAGAGCAATCACAAATACCAGGCAAAACGTGGACTTAACAATAAATGTGCTCATTGTCATTTTGCTTTGGAGCCATTGGTTTTGTGTAGAGCTCGAACGCTTGGAGCATCAACATTAGTAGATTTTAGACACTATCGTCTTTCATTTCATCCCAAATGTCACAGAGAGTTGCTAACAGAAGATACCACGATGATTGGTTGATTACATTTTCAAGTTTATTTTGGACGCCACTGTATACCTGTCAACCATACTCTACTTTTGGACGCCACTGTATACCTCTCAACCATACTCTACTTTTGGACGCCACTGTATACCTCTCAACCATACTCCACTTTTGGACGCCACTGTATACCTCTCAACCATACTCCACTTTTGGACGCCACTGTATACCTCTCAACCATACTCTACTTTTGGACGCCACTGTATACCTCTCAACCATACTCTACTACCGTTGTGACAACAAAACAAAAACAAAACCATACTTTTTGCTTGTACTTTTAATTTTTAATGAGAAAAATCCAACAGGCCAATGATCAAATCATGAAGGGAAAGTCATAAGTGAGAAAATAGAACACAGGAGAGGGATGAGGAATGAGGGAGAGGAGGAAAGATCAACACATGCACACACAGCAAGGCAAGACAGTCGAAACAAATCAGAACGACAGAGAGAAAGAAAGGAAACAAAGGAGTCACCACACAGTGGAATCAGGCGCTCGGCACCACACACCACACACCACACACCACACACCACACACCACACACCACACAGTGGAATCAGGCGCTCGGCACCACACACCACACACCACACACCACACACCACACACCACACACCACACACCA